AGTGCTGCGTCTCTCTATCTACTAGGTTCTGTGAGCGACAGGAGCACATTCATTGACTTCACTGTAGCAACATGCAAGCTAACTTAAGTTGCTGTTTCATGCTTATTATGCTTATAAACACGGAAAAAACTACCACTAAAAATAATGCAAAATGTGATACAATTACATAACTGTATTGTCATTCAGCCAAAAAAAAGGGTCTTTTTGTTGTTTTTGTATTGCCCATCTATTGTCGAATTACAAACACAGTACACATATGTATTTGAATACATTTTGTGTGCAGTGTTGTTACAGTACTGAAACTACAGTTTGCGTCAAGTGGAAGCTAAGTTATAATTTTAGACCTTCTGTGTGTTCTTTTCACAAATGAGGTTTGATACAGTGAGATACTCGATTATGGCTTCCTCTTTATGTGTTGGTTGTGGGCTGTTTATTGTCACCTTGGTCTCCAGCAATCATGCTCATCACCCCCACCAGCAGTCCTCTGTTACACTCTCACCCCTCCCTCCTTTTTTTCCTCTCCTGCTTCGGTCGGAAATGAAGTCAGTCATCCAGCAGAACAACTTGGAATAATTCAGAATTGGGGGGGCTCTTTTCTTTTGCCCCCTCCCCTGCAGGCCCAGGCCAGCTGATCTGCTTCCGCTCTCAATTGTGTGTCCAGTCGACTGTGTGCTCTCAGCAAGGGGCGTGGGGCTACTCTGAACTTTGTACGTGTGTGCACCTGCATATACGCATTATGTGTTGCAGCAAGTTGCAGTGACATTTGTTTTGGGGCTAGTGTTCCTCTTAAGAATGAGAGGGGTTGAAAGAATGAACAGAAACTGCTGTGAAAAACTGATCTAAAACTTGTTGGCTGAGTTTTGCTTTTTCTTTCTTTTTTTTTTTTTTTTCTTGGTCTCCAGGATGTAGGTGTGTCTATTTGATTATAAATGTTAAGTAAGTGCAGTAATAACAATACTTCTTGTTCAGGAGTCTCTCTTGGGTGACATGGGTGTTTTAGACCAGATGCATAAATGCATGTATGCAGTTCAGTTAACTTCCTTTCTGAGCCTTGCCCCCCTCCCTGTGAGTGTCATGGTTGCTGGCATGTGTGTGATGGTAGGTCTGAAGGGTCAGGCCCTGGTCATTGTGCCCTGGTCATGGCTGAGCGACACCACCGCCTGCCTTCTGTTCACCCCAGGGACCCCTTCCTGACTGACAGTCCCTTCTGCACCCATCACCCATATCCTTTATTGGGGGCTGTAGAGAGGTATAACACCAGCAGCATATTCTTCTTACTGGCTGCTCAGAAGTACATTGTGTGTCTGTGTGTGTGGCATGGGTTCTCATGCACAAATTTAGTGACACTGCTGTTAAACTAAGGTTAAGCCAGAAAAGGGTGTTTGTAGCAGATTGCAAAGAGGAAATTAGTTGTGTTTGCGTTTTGTCACCCTGCATCCTCCCACGGCCAGTTACTGTCTAATAAGCCTGGGGTGGGCGTTAGGAACAGAACTGACAAGTGGTGTGTGTGAGTGTATATGCATATTTTATTCAAATATATCTAAATACACATTTTTTTTTTTTTTTTTTTTTTTTTGGCTTGGTTGAATCATCAGGTGAGGGGAAAAAATCACAAATTCACAAAGTAATATTCATAAACTTGACAAAATAATATTTAAAAATATCTTTGGAAATTAGATAACTTCAGTAAAACCTAAAAATCTTCCTGACATCAAGGTTTGGACCTTGATCTTGAATTATCAGGCCCCATGTTATCTTAAAGACCTCATAATACCATATCTCCCCCAATAGAGCACTTTGTTCACCGATAGCTGGCTTGCTAGGGTATTTTAAAAGTAGACTGGGAGATTCCAAGCCTTTCAGGCCTTTCTTCTGTGGAAGGAGCTCCCAGTTTGGATTCGAGAGACAGACATGTAGTTGTCTAATTTTAAGATTGGGCTTTAAAGTTTTCATTTTGATAAAGCATATAGTTAGGGCAAGATCAGGTGACCCTGTATCCTCCCTTAGTTTTTCTGCAGCAGACCTAGGCGGTGCTTCTTCATGCTCACCATTTTCACTCGCTGTGTGTTTATACACTGTCCATCCATCCATCCATTCGCTTCCGCTTATCCTTTTCAGGGTTGCGGGGGGCGCTGGAGCCTATCCCAGCTGTCATAGAGCGAGAGGCAGGGTACACCCTGGACAGGTCACCAGTCTGTCGCAGGGCTAACAACCATTCACACTCACATTCACTCGCACATTCACACCTAGTGGCAATTTGGATTATCCAATTAACCTATCCCCACAAGTGTATGTTTATACATTGCTCTTCATTTAATCTTCCCTCAACCCCAACTGGTCGTAGCAGATGGCTGCCCCTTTTTGAACCTGGTTCTCCTGAAGGTTTCTTCCTGTTAAAAGGGAGTTTTCCCTTTCCACTGTCGCCAAGTGCTTGCTCATTGGGGATTTGTTTTGATTGTTGGGGTTTTCTCTGTATTATTGTAGAGCATTTACTTTACAATAAAAAGCACCTTGAGGTGACTGCTGTTGTGATTTAGTGCTATATAAATAAAATAAAATTGACGTCAGATACAGATAGAATGTGCTTAATTTAATATCACAGAAGAATTTGATGTAACTTTTTCAGTTTGATGGAGAGATTGTTTGTTTGAGTAGTAATTGAAAGGTCTAAATTTGAAAAGCTAAGGATATAAAGGGCATTTGATAGATTATAACATTAACAGGGCTAGAAATTAACACCTGCCAGATGCTGGTACATTTTCCTTTTGGAAAGTGAATATCAGGAAGCCATTGACCACACTGGCTAGTAAATGTTTGTACCACAATAGCAGTTTAAGTTAAAGTGCTTTGAGCCTGTTTAGGTTTAAAGCCTGTTCTGCTGCTTGTGGTCTACACCATGTGTTTGGAGTCTAACATGTCCGCACAAAGTTATTATTTTATTTATTTTTTCATTTTTGTTTTTACCCACCAGTATTCTGCAAAGTGAACCTCATTTTTCGTCTGATTGACTTTGACTGTGACATGTTTGTCCAAACAGAGAAGGAAGACAAATCCTTAGATTTGAAGCAGTAGTAGAAGACTCAGCTCGGCTCACACTGATGATGACGACCAACAATTATTGATTGCAGATGTCTCATCCCCTCATGCACTATGAGCTGTTGTAGAACCATAAAAGTGTAAAAGGAAGACAACTAATATTTGGCAGCTAATTCTGTTGTTTTTCTGCTAGTCAGAAATTTCTTTCTTTGGTTTTCTTTTTTATTTCTGATGGCAGACAGGCACTTATCTACACAACCAGCAGATTTAGAACACGCATGTTTTTGATCACCTCTTGAATGTATGCTCTTTATATAGCATTTATTTCTTTAAAGCCATTACCCCACTCTCAAATCACTTTCTGTATTTGTCTCTTGTTTTGAGTTTCTCTTATTTGACATACTCATCACTCTTTTGAGGAAACTTTGGTCAATTATTACATGGTGGCAGGTCAAAGCTTTCACATGAAGAAAAAGATGGCTTCAGATTTAATGCTCACTGGCTCTTAGATTAATTACTAACCAATATCCTGAGCACTGAGATTTGCCAAGGGTGGGGAAGGAATGAGACCAAAGGTTGGCCTCATTGAGTTAGCCAAGAGGGAAGCCAGAATGATGTTATTCCTCTTTTAGAACAAGAGCTAAATGTTAACTGTTTTCATATTACATGTTCTTCATAGTGACATTTCTCTGCCTCTGTCAATGCTTGAGATTTGGCCGCTGATTGAAAAGCCATTCTTTGCAAATGTTTCAGACTCTGATGTCATCTTTATTGGTTAACCCGGACGTTGGCCAGAGAGCAATGTGTCACAGGGAGACATCCGGCAGTTATATACTTCAGTTCTTTGACTATTTCTGGCTGCGCTCTGATCTTTCCAAGTCTTTAATATGTTACCAGTAGTTTGTGCAAAACGCTGCCCTCAACACCCCCTGACCTTTGTCATTTCCGGTGGCCCAGTGCTGTGTTATCTAATCACTGAACATCTGTCTCCAAGTGAGAGGACAGAAAAAGACATGGAATGAGAGGCGAGCAGATTTAAAGTTACATTATGTAATTGGGATAGTAATCTCTTATTACTTTATTACTGATACATTGGCACAATATAGCAATTTGTTCTTGTGAGTTTTGTTTCTGATTTGAATTTCTTGTTAATTTAGAGTTTGTGACTTATTGATATTTCAAAGAAGATGTTTTTTTTTTTTTAGGTACTTTTCAACCATCTGCTTCATGTTAATTCTCTATAAATTATCTGAAACTTCTATAATACAGTAAATGATCAACACCATGTTTTCTTTCTGCTTCATTTAAAAAAAAAAAAACTAAACTTTTTATTAGTGTGTTTGCCTTCTGTTACATACACAGTGTTAATTATCTTAAACGGCTATCTCATAATAGTCATTTAAAGGAAAGCGGATGATGTTGTTTGGAAACCAGGTCATGTGCTGTCTAGTTTAAAACCACCTGTTTCAAGAGAAAGGTTGGGAATCAGCTGTGGCCAGACTTAACTTGGCCACACGGTCAGTCACCCTCTGCCTGGGGTTAAACACACACACTGGGCGCTTCAGACAGTCTGTTGTTTTGCTGTGTACTAAAACCAAAAACGTATCTTTAATGCAAAATTTAATCTCTTATGTTCAGTTTTTTCGAGTAAGTAAATGGCAAATAAAGCAAAAGACAGACATTGGCCCAGAATTTCCTAATTGCCCCATCCCTAGTTTAAATTGTAATTTTCTCACGTTATCATTTGTGTATGTTCTCTTTGCTCAACATTTTGTTTGTGCTGCACTTAAACTGTATTACTGGTCAAGGCTGAGGCTGTGTAGTTTTGCTTTTGTAATAAAGGAGATTTAAGCAAAGAAAAGAACCCAGGAGACAACTGAAAATATGTTAATGATTCTAGATTATGTTCACTAACACCACTGGGTTTTCCTTCTTCTTTCTCTTCCTCCTTTTTTTCTCCACAGTGACAGTTATGCGCGTGTGAGAGCAGTGGTCATGACTCGGGATGACTCCAGTGGTGGGTGGCTTCCCCTGGGCGGTGGAGGACTTAGCTGTGTCACTGTCTATAAGGTCACCCGGGCGGAGGACACTAACAGCACCCACAGTGGAGGCAGTGGAGGAAGCAGCAGCAACCTTAGCCCCTGTAGCCCTAGTCCTAGTCCCAGTCCAAGCCCTAGTCCCACCGCTGTGGAGTTCCACATCAAAGGCGAAAGGCTCAAAGACAAATTGGTAAGAGAACCTCAAGTTCATAAATGCGATTAGCGTTTTATGCTACAAGGCCAGACATCCAAAGTTGTTCTTTTTTTTCTTTTTCTTTTTTTTTTTCTTCATCTGAATGAGATCACTGCAAACCCTGCTGTTCTGGACTCCCCTCCAATGCTTTGTCATTCATACATGTACTCACACAGGAAGTGGTTATTAGGCTTTCCTCCATGGCACAGGTATCGGAAAATGGGAGCAAACTGCGTATTTCTGTGATGAATCATCAGGAAGAACAGGAAATTATGCACATTCACTCTGCTTTTCTATCAGTACTCAACTACTTGCCGCCCCCCCCATGTTTCTTTTTTTTTTTTTTTTTTAGAATTCTCTTCCTGACTGTGATGTAAAGACTGTTTAAAGTTAATCTGTCCCTTTTTAACCCATAAATACTTCTTTGTACAACACACTCCGTAGTTAGTGTGGTAAAAATAAAAGTAGAATCATTTTTGAAAGTTCTGATAAATATTTCATTTCAGATATATGCAAAAATATTTATTTTTTCCCAATAAAACCATTTACAGTCAAGCTTCTCCTAACAATTACTTTTATATTTTCCTTTATAGCCAGAAATGCTAGTTTTCTAATAGGGTTGTCAAACAAAAAATCTGATCTTAATTGATACAGTGGAATTAGCTACTCATTTCAACAGTATTGATACCAACAGTGCCGTTTCTGTCTCATGCAACTGACACAACTTCACATAACACCTCCCCTCACTAGTTACTGAACACATGAACATTCATCCAACACTATTGAGAGGTCAGTAAAGCTCCAGTTTCAACATCATGAAGTACTGAACAGTTATCATAAATGTTAACCTGGCTGGTGCACACGTTACTGTTAGTTGCTTAACTATTAGCTATTATCCGATAGCCACACACCCTGCCTCACTGGGCATAAACTAGTATACTCTCAGTGCCGCTCCCAGGCTCGGATAAATGGGAGGGTTGCATCAGAAAGCACACGCTGTGGAAATAAGGTACATTTATCGGATAGCCACATCGGTTAAGTTATCATTAAAGTTGTGGCTAGCAGCTGGAGCTAATAATAAAACTATAACGTTAATGTTGGCGCAGGCAAACATTAGTTCTGCCTGTTTGTAATGTTATAATATACAGAGTTGGATTAATAGGGTAGTACAATTACTTGTGTCTAAAAAGTATTCCCTTAAAGTCCCAGATTGAAGCTAAGAAAGTTGACCAGCAACAGTGGCACCCTACCTTAGCCACAGGATTCGTTTAACAATGAATATATGAAGCTGTGTCAGCAGGCATTGCCTAAGATGTTCACAGGAAATCGCTAGACCTGCATTCTACATGTATTGTCAGATTCTTCTTCTTTTTTTTCTCTTTTTTTTTACCTGACCCGTTTGGTTCTTTAGCCGTCAGAATTGTTGTCTGAAGGCCAACAAAAATACCCAGCGGATTTGCGTTACCAAGTGGATCATCATGGCCTTGCCGTATTGGTCCATTTGATCGACCTTTGTTGTTATTATTTAGTTATTTTATTTTATTTTTAGTTGGTATTGTCGGCTTCTTCGTAATGAAAGTAACAATGAGGCCCTAATATCAAGTGCTGTGTTGTGGCTTTAATCTGTTTGGCTTATGGAGTAGTTGCTGTAAAGCTCCTGAGACCTATTCTGTGCTGTAGATGTAAAACAGACCCAGTAGATGCACTGGGATAATCCTTGGTCTGTGGTAATCGGGAGTGTAAATCTATTTGTCTGTCAAATGCCAGATGACAAAAGGCGGCCACCATGATGCACAGAATCTGGTGCTTTCTGGCAGATGGTTATTAGAGCCTTCTTACAGCACTGTGCCTAAATGACCTTTTTTTTTCTTTCTTTTTTTTTTCTTTCACTGAACACATTTTATGTATGTTTCGTATTTACAGTCCTTGTGTTTTGTGCGTTGGTAACCCAGGATGTGTGTGGCACAGAAAAAGGGTGTGATGGGAACGGCATTGCTCAGACAGGGTATAGACATGGTTCAGAGACCCCGACAACTGTTCTGGGATGTGGTAAAACACCCCTATCACCACCAGAATCCCCAGCCACCACAACAAACACCCAGACATATGTAGGTCTGTCAGGATACCACCCAGTGCCAGGGTGTTGGCATCAACCACTTTGCCACCGGCAGTGTGAGGGCATCAGAAGCAGCGTCCAAGAAGAAAACAGTGTCCCCCCCCCCAAAAAAAGACATAAGAATATGAACTGTGTAATTATGTTGTATGAGTGACGTTTAGACTTAGTGATGAATATCACTAAGGCTCCTTGGTTTGGGTTATGTCTAACATACAAAATAGGACAGTGGTCTGCAAGGTTTTAGATGTATTTTTATTTAGACTTTTTTTTTTTTTTTTTTTTTTTGAAGGATACAATTTGGGTGTTTTAATCCAACCAGAAATAAACACAAAGGGAAAAAAGGCAGTGACATCACCGATCCCTGATAGAAACCTGTGAGGAAAATGAATCATAAATGCAGCTATTTTGAAATCAAAAAGACAAGTTGGTTTTTTTTTGTTTTTTTTTCCTGAGGTGACTGGAGATGTGGGGGGTGGGATTTAGAGGAATTCGGGAAGCCGAATGTAGTCAAAGAGCAGGAAATGGAGGTGGAGCCAGATAGATAGGAGACGGAAGAGGAGAGGTGGAGGGGGATCTGTCTATAAGCGCAGTGATGCGGCACAGAGTGTACTGGTGATGACTCAGCTGGCTCTCCATATAGCTACCAATCACTCTCCTCCTTGGCCCCCCACCTCCCCTCCGTCTCTCTTTCTCGTTCTCGCTGCTATTCGGTGACTCTCTTAAAACTACAGCTCTAATTGGTTGATGATTACTTACCATGCTGGCTCTCGGATTATGACAAATCTCCAGTTAAGCTCTTTCACTCCACCTTGCTTCCTGTCATTCATAGTTTGCAACTCCCTGCAGATTGGTACAGCCGTGCATTCCAGGCTTACTCTAAATGGCATTGCCTTGGAGGCAAGGCCCTATTTGACTGTTTTTTTTGTTTGTTTGTTTGTTTTTTAAATAATTGTTAACCCTGTTTGTTTGTTTTGACTTACCAGTAACATTTATAGCTTTAAGTCTTGGAGGGGGTGAGGGTGTGCTGGGTTATTTCACTATGAATCAATGCACCCTGTTGCATTATTCTTTACAATTTTTGTCTTAAAATAATAGCAAGGTTGGAATCATCATTCTGAAAGAAGCCTGATTTCTTGCATTCATGTGAGCATAGTCTCCATCTGTTCCTCTTTTCTTCTCTTACACACTGTCTTGACTGCTCTCTGTCTCTCTCTCTCTCTCTCTCTCTCTCTGACACTCTCCTCCATTAACATCACTTGCCTCTGTTCCCTTTCTGTCTCTTTTTCTGTCAGCAAGGCTCCTCCTCCTCTCTTTTCTCTAAGCACAATATGGAATGCGGTGTTAAGTATCAACCTTCCATGCAACTGTGATACTTCCTCCTCAGTCGGCCTTGCTGTGCGCTCACCTTACCTGCTCCGGCTCCATTCAGTCTCGCCTCCACAATCACCCCCAGAGGCACAGCGGACCCCTCCTCCCTTCCCCTGTCCTTGTCACCCCAGCAGCCTCTCACATCCATCCTTCCCTTCTTCTGTGCACTCATCCAGTAGCTCTAGGGTAGTCACACAGGCTTAACCCTCGCTGCCTCCTTTTCTTGTTAGAGACATGTATGAAACAATGATATGGAGACAGACGCTTGAATTATGTGCAGCACACTTGCAAAGCGACTCACACAGACAGAATGAAATTCAGACCTGAGCACCCCCCCTCTGACACACATACACGCATATCATCAACCTCTTGTACAGCTGCCACGTATTAGCCTCTTGAAGTGTGCATGTTGACTGTTGTCCAGATCCACGGGGAACGGTGCCATCTGCTTTCAGCAATCGAGTACTTTGTTTGTGACCGTTATTCTCCGACAAGACATTTGAACCGCAAAGATGCACAGCGTAGCACTTGGGTCATTGAGCTTTTCATCGCACCAGCTCCTGTGCTCACGCATGCTCTCACGCAGATCGCGGTGCGCACAGTCACACATTCACACCCCATTAAGCCACCTCTCGTGCGCGTCAGTAAAAACCTCAAAGACTTTAATGGCCGTCTCTCATTTCATTTAATCTGCCTAGAGGAAGACCGGGAGGCGGCCCAGTAGCCCTGATTAATAATAGGCTTTGGAAACGCAGCCTCTCTCTGCCATACACTTGGGCTCCCTGGCTCCAAAACACCTCCACACACTCCAACTCTCAGGCCACCACTGCTCTTCAAGTTTAACTTTAAACCCCACTATTTAGAATGTGTTTTACAAATTATCTAAGAAGTATGTTGAGTATTGGATTTGGGGGGATTTTTTTTTTTTTTTTTTTTTTTTCTTCTTCTTCTATTTTTGATTTTAGAAGCTCTGGAACTGCCCATATGTGTAGTTCAAATGGCAGAAATCTTCTATGTCTTTTTGTTATATTCCTGTTGTGTTGGAATAATTGAATTTGACACGTTACAACAGCTTATGGGGTTGGATTAAACCACACAGGTCAAATTCTGTATCCAGCTATATTAAAACATCTCAAAGAGCACCAGCATGCCTTGGTTCACTTTCAAACTCTTCTGTTTGTTTCTTTTCAGGTGGTACTGGAGTGTGTGCTGCAGAAAGACCTAGTATACAACAAGGTCAACCCCATCTTCCACCACTGGAGGATCAACGACAAGAAGTTTGGACTGACCTTTCAGAGCCCTGCTGATGCCCGTGCTTTTGACCGGGGAATACGGAGGGCCATTGAGGACATTAACCAGGGTGTGTTTTGCCTTTTTGTCTGCATGCGTGTGTGTGTGTTTGTTTTCTTTTTGCTAGTTTAGAACAGGTCAAACCAGATAACAAAGCCAATAGAAAGCCAACAGAATGCACCTTAACTTAACAGTCCATCAGCCAGCATTGGCTATTGTTTCCATATCAAGAAATCAAGGCAGCCCACAGATTTTTTTCCCTCTACTACCCTCACCACCTTTCAAACTCTTACTCGATCGACAAAACATCACATTTGTTTAGAATTCCCACCTAGAGTTTGCACTGTGTGTCTTGGCAACCATTCAGTACATGTAAAAGTTGGATGTAGATGGATGTATGCACATGAATGTGGTGTGTATTCTACTGGTGTGCATTCACAGCCTGCATTCCTGCTTGTTTATCTTGGCTTGTAAAGGCTGACCTAGCATCTGTTCTAGAAGAGATGTGTGCCGTTGATTACCTTTGATGACTCCTCCGCCAATGCTACCTGCTCTCTCACCCAAGCTTGAACCCTCCTGTGTTATCTTATCAAGCCCAGCTGCCCAGATAAGCTTGCCACATCCGTAGAGACTGGCAATGCAATGCTTTGCTCAGACAGTGGGTGATAGAGGACAGGAGAGGGTTGGTGGGAAAGACGAGAAACTCATAGAATGGATCGCAACCTGAGATATGGGCTGAGCTTCACTCAGAAGAAACTTGACCAGACTGGGCTTTTGTCCTTCTCTGTCTTGGCAAGATAGTTTGAGGACTGGCTAGACTAGTCTAACAAAATTTTGTATTTGGACTGAATGTGGCATTTATATATTTTAAAGCTAAGATAGGTATTTACTTTATGTATGGAACTGAGTGGGCAGGTTTAGGTCCTAATAAGCATTATTTTTCAGCACAGTGCCAGAGGTTGCAAAGTCATCCAATTAGTAGGAGAATTGCCAACTCAGCAATCTGCTATCCAGCCCTGTGTTATACAAGATGCTGGTCGACCGGCTGGCTGAGGAGCTGTAATATCCTTTACACTCTAGACCCAGGAATCATGGGGAGCATAGAGGAGGTACAGCGGAACATTTGTAAAGGTTTATCGCCACTGAGCATCAGTTGCTTCTTGCCCACAGCCGTTTATCTGAGATTTGAACTTCCTGGGCACAAGTCCACACCATCTAGGTAAAAGGTAGTCATGTAGAACTTGCTTTGCAAGCTGCTTTTCCTGTAAATTTCACATGAAGATAACGAACCGGCAATAATAGCGTACTTCATTATCACAGGGTCATCTTCTAGGATGATTAGTGTCTCTTTTAAACAAACCAAAATTCGCTCCCAGTTTCTTAAATGTCTTCTATTTTGGTACGCTAAAATGATGTGTGGAAACCTGAGGGGTTTTGTTTTGAATGGGGTGTTGGCATTTGAAGATGTGAGCTGGGAAGCTGTTATGGTCTTTTGTCACAGTTTGACAACAAAATATCAGTAACATATCTGATATTCATGATTTGAGGCCGTTTCAGTGCTGTTCACATAATCAGATGGCAAAGAGGCATGGATATCTCATGTAGCAGGGCCCGGGTGATTGTGAAGATTCTCATTCAGAGACTGTATAGTCTTGGTGTGCTAATAAATGCTTCGGCTTCTTCCTGTGAATGTCAGCTACAGCAGGTGATGGTGGGGTTTCATTCCCTTGCCTTTCTCTCTCTCTCCCCCCTCCCGCCCCTGCTGTCCTCTCCTCCCTCCGTTCTCCTCTCTCTCCTGGCATCTTCTGTATTCTGCCAGTGTTGTGTAATGCCTCTCCTCAGTTCTTCTGTATTCCAGTTGCATCGTTCTGCTGCTGGACTGCTGCGTGAATGTGTGTGGGGGAGAGAAGAGGCAGGAAGGGTGTGTGTGTGTGTGTGTGCGCACGCGTATCTGCGTGCACGCACACGTGTGTATCAGTCTTGCAGTCCTCTGTTGCCATGGCAACGTCAGGCACATGGCTCAGGCAGCTTTGTGGCCCAGCGCTGCCAGAGTTGGGCTGCAGGAGGCCTCTTTCTCTCAGTAGTGGAGAAATGCATACACACACACACACACACACACACCTTTCTCCATGTGACTCAGCGACAGACAGACAGACTGATGGACAGACTGTGTCTAACACAAGCTCAGTGAATTCTTCTGTCCTCTCTGTGACAGAGATCACATTACTGTGTTTTTCTGCATTCTCTCTCTGAATGCAGACAGGAAGATTGATGCCTCAGTGCTTTAAATAAAGCCTCAGTAATCCTAAATAAGTGAACCAAAGTTGAAAAAGAACCTCTTTTTCCCCCTTGGGTGCAAATATATTCACCACCCCCCCCTCCCCACATTCAGATAGTTTTGTCCTTGCTTTCTACAGCATTGCCAAACTGAAATGTCCTTAAACATTGATTCTTTTTTTTAATTTATTTTTTTTAATGTATAAGCTGGTGCTTTCATCAGTGGTTTTTATGTGTTAATTTAAGCTGACTGAAACCACAATAATTTGATTGGCTGTACCTGTGCACTGATATTTTTTAGTAAATGGCTGCATTTTATGTTAATTCTGACCATATGCTTGGAAGTGCATAGGTATAACTCATCGTTCTGAACTCAGCTTTTAGATTTTATACTTCTGATGATATTACCTGGTGAATATTATCAAATTATTAACTTTAAATGTGATTTATAACAGTTCTTTATACAACGTTATGCACATATTAACTCAGATTTACTTCAATTATTGTTCTGTAAGAGTAAATGTCTGCTGTCTGTAAAGCAACACACACCTGCACGAATGAGTGGTTAACTGGTGGCATCTTTTAGTTGTGTAATGCTTTATTTTTGGTTTTTTTTCTTGGATTTGGTTACATTAACAGCCATATATTACACATACTAAAAATGTAGGTTTATTCCAAGAAAAGTTTTTATCTTATGTCACAAAACGGTGGTGTTGCATTCTGCTTGTTTTGATCTGACAAACCTCAAGACTTCACTGGACTACGTGCAGGGAAATTGGCAGACTTTATTCAATTACACCTTCACCGAGCTTTAAAAAAAAATATTCAGACTGCATACATTAAACAAGTTATTTCACATTGTTGACATAAGCACCATTAAAATGTTTTTTTTTTTTTAAAGTGATGTTTGTGACAATAGTGTTCAGCAAACCACTATGAAAATATAAGTAGTGTACGTGTCTTTCTTAAGATTGACTTCTCCTGTAGATTGTGTAATGTGTGCAGTGATGAAAAGCGTTAGCTCTTTCCTGCACCTTGGTAACTGAGGTGTTTGGGGTGCGAAAATGGCACGTGGGTTTTTAGCCGAGGTCACGGTTACATTATTCTCTGCATGCTTATTTTATTAACTTCTGTGAACCCCACTAACACAAAGCAGCTTTCATTTCCCCATTAGGCCACAGGCAGAAGAAAGCAGAAGTCTTGAACTATTCCGGCCCGACAAGAGTCAGCGTGGTAACTTTAAACCATGCTTAGGGGGGAACAGTTTGAGAAACAAACAAACAAATAGAAATATTTTGTTGGTAGAAGGAAGTTGCTGAAAGATTCAGAGTGATGCAGGTTGTCGCCTGGGTTCTTTGAATTTTTACCCTCTAGTCTTCCCTTGCTTTTGTCAATCAAATTTAGCTATGAGAGTTTTGTGTTGTATACTTTGCCTCTTTGAGCTGTTGTTGAGTTCTCGTACCTTTCTCTCTTTCAGGTTGTCGACCGTTTGGGGAGGGCGATAATCCAGAGGATGGACTACCGGTGAGTGACATTAAGGTTTAGTAAAGAAAACCTGTGTTGCTATGACTGAAAAGAGTGAAGTTCTCTCTGCTTTGTCACCGACTCTGAAATGACATGATCCACATGTTTGGTTGGGGTCTGATCTGTCCCAGCCAGGTGCTGACACCTGCCTTTGTTGTCTCACAGTTGTTCTTAGAGATTTACAGATGTTTAACCAGTGTCAGCCAGACCCTGAGGTGAAGCTGGGTGTTGGCCAGCAAATGTGGTGTACTCTAACTCTGCAGCTGTCAGTCTTGTCGAGATTGAAGATGATATATTATCACCTGGAGCATTCATCTTTACTAGTCAAATAAGGCTTTAGGAGGTTGATGTTGTCTTAGCTGAAAAAACAAGGTACTTTAAGGTGCTCAGTAGATAGTTGTGAACTCGCGTTTAGCCTGTTTAAGCTAATCTCTCCATGATGCTGACATCAGGGTCGCATCTCGTAAGACTCTTTATTCTTCCTTTGCGTGAAGATAGGACTCTGACTTTAGCTAACTAAATTTGGGACCAACTAAACCTGTACACAATAACTGCATGCACCATGTATTGTACCAACAACAACACTCAGTGCCTTTGCACAGCGGTTGACTGTCACCATGTGTGTTTAAGAATGTCACGTTCTCTTTAGCAGAGAAAGGCAGCAGGTGTATAGTTCAAGGCAACACACCCTTGGTAATTTGTTTTAGATATCTGTCCTTTTACAGGAAAGCCAGCCACCCACCTGTTCTGCTTCTGATTGCAAAGTTGATAAAGGCACATTAGTAGGAAGGGCAGCTCTTGTAGGACACATTTAGTGACAGTATAGAAGCCTCTGACACTGTTAAGCAATCCAATGCACCAGTGCTGTAAAGAAACCCTACACATAATAATGATTAACTGTTGTGCAACACTGAGGTGTGTTGATTCACCTCTGATCATTTCCTCCACTCTGCACACTGTATATGGAATAGACAGAACCACGTTTGTGGTCTCTTGTTGACTTCATGCTGGACCTCATGTGAATTAAATTTTTAGCTATGAACCTCCCAGAGGCTTATACTTACCTCTGATCTGCTCTGTACTTGCCCATCTGCATGATGCAGACTAGAAAAGCAGTGATGGAGAAGAAAGTGGTGTTCCAGTTCTTGTGGCAAAGTTCCTCTTTAAGGAATCAGCCTGAACATACAGGAAATCCAATGGCACCGCTGTTGCTAGGCAGCGGGGGGGAAGGAGGGGTAAGGGGTGCAGCCAGAGAGGGGTAGAAAGGGGGTGTTCAGCAAGCCACCGAGGGTGTCACCATGGTGATTTGGCATCCGAATGTTGCGGTCAGAGACCTGGGCTACAGAAAAAGAGAAGTGAACCAGAGGCTGCGGCCAGAGAAGCAGCAAATACCACCACACAGCAAAGTGTTAGCCGAGCTGTGTGGCTCCAAGCTCCATCACGAAGTCACGTCAGTGTCTGTGCAGATAAATGATGACTTTCAAAAAAAAAAAAAAGTACAGAAGCTTTGCTGCATGTCACCCCCTCCCAACCTTTCTGTGGCTCCCTCCATCTGCCATGTGTGGGTGTGTAAAAGGCAAAATGCAAAAAAAGCATAAAAGAAAGAAAGAAATTGTTATGACCACTAGAGGTGGGAAATGGATAGTAATTTCATTCACTTCACACAGAGTCATGAAATAATCACTCTAGTAAGTCAGATTAGTTGCTGTATTTGGAGCGTGTGTACTTTCTGCTAATATTTGGCACCAGAATGTTAATAATTGTATCACAAGAGGAAGCGGTGTGATGATGCATCAAGATTTCAAAATGTTGTCCCACCCAGGGGTGGTTGACCACACGTGTAGTTTTTATTAGTGGTAGGTCTTTTTAGAAGCAGTAGCAGCTCTCTATGGATTTGCTGTGACCTTGTGCCAAAAACAGATGCGAGAGGTTACCATGAAGCCTTGTTTTTGCTCCTTGATTAAATGGCTCTAAAAATCGACTGGTATCAAAATTTGCTGGAATTCATCCTAGCCTTGCATTGTTACAAAGATTTGTGTGCGTCGTGTATGTGCACGCACACACGCGTGAACTGTCAGTGTTCGTGCGCTGAAGATGGTCTTCTCCACCCACATCCTGCCCACTGAGGCTGAGCACCCACATGTATGCCCTTCACAAGCTTACCACATTCTTCCTCTCACTCAAAAAACACATACACACACACACACACACACACACACACACACACACACACACACACACTGAACATGCAACATATTTCACCCATAGAGAAAAGTGGTTGCACAACACCCTACTCAGCTGTGATGACCCACTGCCAGGAATTATGCTGTACCGCTACAGTCCTTCCGCTAGTACTAAGTAAAATATGTATGTGAGGGTTTTTTGTTCTTTTGTTTTTTTTCTTTTCTCGAATACCACAGGAAAACATCCACATCTAATTTAGAACTGGCAGGAAGTTTTCTCTTATCTGTTTTGTACACATGGGTTTTGTTGGCCAGTGAGTTTCACAGCCTCATTCTGACCGATGATGTCGTTTTCTATGAGACATCTCTAAGCTGTGAAGAAAAGTAATTTAAAGTAGCCATTTGACATTTTATGAAATATGCCTTTTATTCTCTTTTGCTGTGAATTTGAGAAAAATCTACAAAAATGTATTTGTAGATTGATGTAACTCAGCAGGCCAGAAGTTGGTTACATACATCTCACCTCATTCTTACAAATAAAGACTCACTTCCGAAAACAGCCAACCACTCCTTTAGGACACATCAGGAGTGGGCTTTTTTAAAATGTTAAATTTTTTTATTTTAAGCTGGCAGGACCCAGAGATGAGCACCCATCAGGCTTCTTTCTAGCCTGTGAGAAACAAGCTCATAGAGAAGTAAAGCATGTATTCATGTTTGCATTCAAATATCCAGGCACGCACACAAAACGTTCCTTTGCTTTGTTGAAGTGTGTGTCGTAAGCTTTTAGTATGTGTGCCTTTGAGGGCGGAAGTGCATGGATCCCTGATGTTGGTGTGGAGCCAGGTTGCCCGTGGCTCCGCACCACCTACAACGCCCTCTCTGCATTCCTCCCCCTTCTCGTCTCCTCCCTCAAACAGCCACATCTCTAGGGTCAGATCAGCTCCAGATTGGCCCCCACGCATGCCTTTGAATAGTGGGGGCTTGGGCTAGCACTTTAAAAGGAAGCCCAAGTCTGTTTCCCATTTGCCCCGCCGCCCCTCGCTCCTTTCTCTCTTTCTCTCACATACACATACAGCTGTCATCTGGCTTTTTAAGTTCTCTGCTGCATTTCTCCAGCTGGAGCTGGTTTATGACATTCCCTCGGCAGACTCTTTGGCCTCTCGCTCCCTCTCCCCCCTCTCTCTCGCTCTAGCTCTCTCAGACGCGCACACACAAATACAACACAATCTCATTTTTTCCTGCTCTGTTCTTTCTCTTCCCTCTGCCTCCAATGTCTCCTGTTCCTCACATTCCCCTGCAGACGCTGTCGATGTGTGTTGCACCACTCGGTATGTTTGGAGGCAATGAAGGAACAAAGTCACACACACGCACACAGACCATGTGTTAGCAGTCTGTGGGGTGGGTGGGGTAGGGGGCTAGTGGAGGAAAGGGGGGGGGGGGGGGGGGGGGTCAAAGGAAGCATCTCTTAGCAACCACAGGACAGTAATTACTGTAGCAGCAGCTGGGAGCAAACCAGATTTCCGCTGTGCGTTAAAGCACTGGCGTGGGCTACTTTACACACGGCACTGACTAACTACAGCCAGCACCACCTCCACACACAGAAAAGAGAGAGGGAGAGAAGGTGGGAGAAGGAGAAGAGAGGAGGACTAACCCTGCTTTGATGAGGTCGAGATGTGTGTGGGGGGGGAAAAGAGGGTCAGCTAGCCAGTGCATACGAGGCTCGAATACGGTCCGATCGAACTCGAAGACGCCTCGGCATGCATCCATCTGTGTTTGTGTATTTTCGGTTGCGACACGCAGAGAGAAAGAACCTTCAGTTTAGCGGGGTCACTTTGAGACATCACAGGAGCGTTTAGAAATAGGCAGGCACGTCCGTGAATGTGAAGTTTAGCCTCGTTTTGAGGGCGACCGGTACACAGTTCTGCTTATTTTCCCGTATCTCGCGTGAACGTTTGAATAAGCTGGAAGTTGTGAACATAGTTGCACTGAAATCAAGCTCCACAAAATATCACAAGGCTCTTAACATAATAACTATCCTCCCCCAACTCTCATCACCTCTGCATGCATGAATCATGAAAATCACTGCTGCTTTTGATTTTTGTTGCCATGAGTACTTAAAGTATGAGGCTATTGCTGTTGGAGGCTCCTTTTTTAAATATAATTTCTGTAGATGTGTAAAAATATTTTTCCTGCATTTGATGTCCTCTGTGTCATTCACAAGATGTTATTTATAGGCCGATTGATGTCAACAGTGAGCTTTCTTCTTGTAATTGTTGGAAGGAATTAATTGTTCGCTTTCACGTTGCAGCGCATGGTTTCCAACATCTCTCTTTTTTTTTCCGGCATTGTCAAGAGCCTTTTTAGGCCGGTGTTTGTAGATTTTTGCATCAGCTAAAATGTTTGTGGGAACACATGCAAGGCTGATGGGAACTCTGAGTTCTTAACAGAAGGGTCTTGAGTCATCTACACAGCTCAGTCATTTGGACAAGCGTGGGTGCAGGATGCCCCCTGGTGGTTAAAGTGGAACACACACACACACACACACACACACACACA